GAATTTCATTGTCTTTTTCATTTTTAAGATTATCTTTAGTTGTACAAAAGGGTTTCAATTCTACATGCCACTTTGTGAGTACAATGCATTGTGATCAATCTCAACCCCTCATCTTTCTTCCTGCATCTGTTGCAACCGAACCCATTGATTTCCAGTCATTTAAAAATGTACAGTTTTAACATGTTAACACACCAAGAGTGCCCAATCATTTGACTTACCAGTATTGAAAGAGAAGTCATGTAAATGTATCTCAGACTAGCCTGGTGACCACTATGACTTAACAATGCTCAGCAAAAATCAAATAATAATTACATAGATAGAATTTATCATATAATTAATAAATATTATGGTGTGTATGGATGAGGCAGGGAGGGCTTGTACTCAGGGCCTGGGCGCTATCCCTGAGCTTTTTTGCCCAAGGCCTGTCTTCTACCACTTGAGCCATAACTCTAATTATGGCTTTTTGCTAGTTAATTGGAGATGTAAGAATCTCATGGACTTTTTTGCTTGGGCTGGTTTTGAACTCTGACAGCCTGAATCAGATGTCAGCCTGAGATTACAAGGCATGAGAAGTGAGAATTTTTTAATTCACCTAAAATAGAAAGAAATTATGTTGAAATATAGACAATATTATCAACAGACAATAGTTTTATATTACATGGTAAGAGCTAAGTCAGACTTAATAGTAACCTTAAGTTTGCAGTATTTGTGAGCATAACCACATCATGAGATATCTTGAACATCTTCCTGTAATGAAAACATCTGTGCTTCCCACTAACACCTTTCCTGGGATAGTTTTCCTGCATTGATGGTGGAAAGAAATTCTACATTTCTAGTTTAATTCTAAGGAAGATATCATTTTCCAACCATCCATCTATAAACTCTAACTAAACAAACATCCCTGTTGGTAAGTGTCTACATATTGTACCTTTTAGCCCATATTTTCAAAGTTATGTCCTAGTTCTGCTTGATATATGCCAAGATTACAAGGTAGAAAACAGCTTCTGTGCTTCGACCAATATTTACTGTGCACTGTGTATATCTGCTATGTGTCAGCAGCTAGAGTCAGCAAAAGAAGTTCAGAAGTAGACTCTGCTTATATGAAGCCAGGGAGACGAATCATAATTGGAAAGAGTAAATAACTATGACATAGGTTCATAAATGCTGAAGAAATTGAGGAGATAGGATGTATTTTCAGGAAGAGGGTGGGTAGGTGGTTAAGGAAGAGCCTTCTGACTATCTGCTATTTAATGTAGGTCTAGAAGCATGGGATGGAGGCAGTGGGTTTGATAAGGCCGGGTACGAAGTAGGAAGTAGAGAGAGTTTAGCCTGTGTGAAGCATCTGAGATAAGAAGGAAATTGTACCTAAGTCCACCCTGCTTTTTGGTGACTAAAGATTAGAGTCTCATAGACTTTTCTGCCCACGCTGGCTTTGAATCTCCATCCTCAGATCTCAGCTTCCTGAGTAGCTAGGACTACAGGTGTGTGCCTAAATACATATATATTTTTTAGAACATACAAACAGCATTCTAGAAAAGTCATTTCTTGGGGCTGGGAAGGTGGCTCAGTGGTAGAGTGTTTGCCTTGCATGCATGAGGCCGGGGTTCGATTCCTCAGCACCATATAAGCAAAAAGAAAAAAGTCAGAAGTGGCGCTGTGGCTCAAGTGGTAGAGCACTAGCCTTGAGCTGAAGAGCTGAGGGACAGTGCCCAGGCCCAGAGTTCAGGCCCCACAACCAGACCCCCCCCCAAAAAAAAAGTCATTTCTTTTTAGAGACAGAATACCCTTTGCCAGTCTTCTGAGTTTCAGAAACACAGTCTAATTACCCTTTATATTTATGATATAAATATGACTTGCTGTCATATGTGTTTACACCAAACAGAAATTTTAGTATATTATTTGTATTTCTAATGCATCTTGAGTCTGAAAGAATTCTTTTGAGTTACTTCCTAGTGCTTTTTATGACTTTATTTTGAATGTTAACATCATTCCTCTTTTGCTATTTATTCCATGAGATGGATTCAAATTTAGTTTCCCAGTGTCTATGCCCTTGTGCTATTATTAATCTGAGATGCTGTCCATACACAACAGGGATTTATGCACATCATATATTCTTGTATCTTTCCTCTATTCTCTTGTCTCTCTGTCCCTTTGTGGGTTGATATTAGAATATTCAGCATGACTTTATAATGTTTCAGTACCTTTTTTTCTTAGTTCCATTTTGTTGTTCTCTCACAATTAGCTTGGCTGTGATTGCACATTTATTTTTCATATATAATTTGAATATTGCAAAAATCTGTTGAAGTCAGGTGCCACTGGCCCATGCCCATAATTGTAGCTATTCAGGAGGCTGAGATCTAAGGATTATGGTTTGAAGTCAGTCTGGATCGGAAAGTCTGTGCATCTCTTATCTTTAATTAAAGCTCCAAAAAGCCAAATGTGGAGCTCAAGTTGTAGAGTACTAGCCTTGAGAAGAAAAGAAAAAAAGCCCAGGGACAGT